GCAGCCTGGACGTGGGCACAGGTGACACAGTATCTGTTGTAGTTCTTGGGAACTGCATAGTCAGCAAGGTGCTATGTCCATAAAGACTGGCTCTGAGGAGCTGCAGCCTTGACATGAATGACAGGGTTGCAGTCTTTCTCAAAGAGAGATATGAAACGAATGAAGAATGATGAATTTGATGACTGCGAACAAGAAAAAGAAAAAAAAAAAGAAAAGAAATTGCACTCGCGTAGGAAGAGTCGGTGCCTGGGCATGAGGAAGACTGTTTCCTACAAATACCTATGTGATAGCTACATAGGTATACCGATGTGCCACTCTCTCTACCCCGTTCTAAATCCTTATCACTCACTCACCGCGCTGCACACGCTCATGGGCTTTGTTGAGTACATATTAAAATTGCCGTGCTTATAAAGGCAGGTATTCAGCAACACATGTTTGCCTCTGCCTAGCACTTCTGGAATAAAAGCAGTCCTCTTTCTCCATCATGTGAGGTGTGAGGGCTCTCCATGGAGGTTTATCACAGATCCCTAATTGTACAGGTCTGACAGATGGAATAGCCATACATTATTGGGAAAAATAATAAGATAATAAAAATAGTGGGACAGTAAAGGAATACAGTTAATACTATGGCATTTGGCAAAAATAGTTGAGATAATTATCAGATTGTTTCTCTGACCATAAGTTATATTAGTCTGTGCTCTCTAGAAAAACGAATTTGATAGAATGAATCTCTCTCTCTCTCTAATATATATATTAGAGTAGCTTAGAGGTTACTGTCCAACTATTCCAACAATGGCTGTCTTCCAATGGAAAGTCCAGAATCCAGTAGTTCAGTCAGTGAGGGTGAATGTCTCAGCTAGTTTTCAGTTTACGACAGAATCCCGAAGAATTCGGCTCTAATGCCTGTATGGGATGAAGTTGCCATCTAAAGGACAAGCTTCCTTCTCCCATGTCTTATATATATATATATATATATATATATATATATATATATATATATATTCTGTCACAGAGGATGTAGTCCAGATTTAAGGTACATTTTCCTTCCTTAACAGACCAGGATTTGATTTCCAACTCAAATGATCCAATCAAGAAAAATCCCTCACAGTTGTGCCCAGCGGCTTGAATTTTAGTTAATTCCAGATGTTGTCAAGTTGACAACCAAGAATAGCCATCACAAAAGCCATCACACATCATCATAAGAGTAATCATCTCTGAGAATGGGCCTTGGATGGTGTGTGGTGAAGCATACACAGTTACACACATGGGTCAGCTGCTACTCATTATTTTCTGCAAATCAACACAGACACACCAGCAGCTCAGACTTCTGGCGAAGACGTTCTGGGTGGTACTGTGACCTCACCTGTTCTAACCTGGCTGATTTAGCTCTCCTGCCATACCTGGAATTTCAGTGGTGTGGAGGTTTGAATAAGAATGCCCCCTCCCCCACAGGCTCATATATTTGAGTGCTTAGTCACTAGGAGTGGAACTCTTGATGGGATTAGAAGGATTAGGAGGTGTGGCCTTGTTGGAGGAAGTGTGTCACTGTGAGGTTTTCACAAGCCCACACCACGCCCAGTGTTTCTGTCTTTGTCTGTGGAACAGGATGTAGCTCTCTGCTACTGCTCCAGCGCCACTGCAAGCCGCCGTGCTCTCTGCCCATGGTGATCATGGACTAACCCTCTGACACGAGCCCCCAGTTAATTGCTTTCTTTTGTAAGAATTGCCTCGGTCATGGTGTCTCTTCACAGCAATAGAACAGTGACCAAGAGGAGTGGTCACCACCCAGCCACCCTAGGCTGTTACTGTAGATGGTGTGACTGGCTGAAGGGGGGAAAGGACAGGGTCATGAGGAAGCGCTCTCCAGGAGTTGGGGGTTGGGTCTTTGGGTCAAACAGCTAACGCATCACACGTGAAATGAGGACTCCTAAAAGCTGAGGAGCTGGGTTAGCATGGGCATGTCCCATTGCAGTGGGTTGAATCCCCGGCCACTCTTCCTTGGAATTTGGGGGGACTCCTGTCCCATATACAGTTTCAAGTTGTCTGTCTAGGCCCTTTATTAAAGCTGCTACCCACGGCTTCTGCAGGCTCTGGTGGGGCAAACAAAGGAGCAGGTAGGTAGGTATGGCTTCACAGCCTATCCATACCAACGTCTCTATAGGAGATGTAGCATTTTCCCCCCTAGGGACACAGTAACTGAAGGAGGGTTAGTGAAAAAGGATGAGATGTGCTATGGTCGAGCTGGGAGTAGTAAGAATAATACTGGACAGTGTGGAAAACTGAAAGATCTGGAAGTAGAACTAAACCCTTAGAATTCTGTAGGGGAAGCTGGCCCCTGGGAACATTACACATGTCTTTTTAAACAGATAAACAGTCAACACTGGCTTACATACAGATTTCAATATTTTCTGTATTTGTGTTTGGCTCTGTTTTGTGACTGAGTTTGCCCATATCATCCCAATTGCCTGGAAATGTCTACCTAGGCCAGGCTGGCTTGGAAGTCATGGTGATCCTTTTGTCTCTACCCACCTCTTTAAGTCTATTAACAAGACATCCATTTTGATGTTTATTAAAAGAATAATAAGGATTCTTCAAGATGTTTGTAATGGGGAGTATTGCAATTAAGGGAGAGATGGGACAAAAAGAATTGGGGCGTTAGAGCCACGGAGTGGAGTATGGAAGGAAGTCAGTTGGTGAGTAGATGGAAAAGTCACTAAGAGGCAAAATCAAGGGTAGACAGCTTCTTGAGGAAGTGACCTGACAGGATTCTTGTTAAAGATAGGCCGGAGCAATCAGATAGCAGAAGCAGAGGAAGGATTTGATCAGTTATTGAGGTGTTCAAATATCAAATGTGGTGGCATTCTCACTAACCTGACCCAGAAAATTCTTGCAAATCTGTACCAGACAGGATGAGGAAGAGAGGACCCAAGGATGAGAAGCTAGTCTGCCAAAAGGCCTCAAAGGATCCTGTCTGCCATTTGGTCAGAATCTTAGTTAATGCTAAATTAAAATGGATATAATAGGTTATGCATGTATGATTAATATAAGAAACAAAAAAATTATAATCTTTATCTTTAGTAACAGGAAATATCCTCTTGTGAGCTGTGGTGAACTCCTGGGCTACATCTGGACCAGAATTTATTTCTTTTTCTCCCATCAATGAGCGCTGATGAAATGTTTAGATTAGATAATAGTGTTGTAATTGGTGGCTCTGCTCTGATTTTGATTATTATGATACAGAATGTCTTTCCTCTCAGAAAACACTCACTTAAGAATTTTCACTAAAGGAGTATCATGTCTTGCTCTCAAATGATTTTTGGAAGTGGTAATACATATGTACAGGGGTCATCAGGTAAAGCACAAGTAGCAAAAGTTAGCACTGGGGTCCAGGGTAGGGATTGGACTGTGTGTGTGCACATCTGTGCAGGTTTGTGGTTGTCGACGCAAGTGAAGGATAGAGAATGATTTCTGGTTTCATCCTGAGGAATGTCATTCTCCTTTTTGAGACAGGGTCACTCATTGGCCTGGAGCTCACCAACTGGGCTGTGGTGGCCAGTCAGCCCAAGGCAGCCTCTAGTCCTTTTCATGTGCATTGCCAGTGGTGTTCTTTTAACTTTCCTGACAAAGATATAGTAAGGGTGGTGGGAATCTTAGTTTCCTGGAATCCTCTGTCTCTCTGTCTGTCTGTCTGTCTCTGTCTATGTCTCTCTCTCTGTCTGCACCCCTCATCTCTCTGTCTCTGTCTCTCTCTCTCTCACGTCTAGGGGCAGCATTGCAGAGGGGAATGTTCCTGAAGTGCCAGCACAAACTTGGGCCCAAGTGCTTTTTCTCTCATTCCCCAGATGTTGTTGAGATCAGGAATTTCATATTTACAATGGTCACAACAAAATGTGGTATATACAATTGTCACAGGAACACATAATAGAAATACTTTTGTGAAATCTAATTCTAGAAGGAGTTCTGTAAATATCAATTCTTTCCCTTTCAAAAAGAGATTTCTTTCTCTTCCCTTCCTTCCTTCCTTCCTTCCTTCCTTCCTTCCTTCCTTCCTTCCTTCCTTTGTTTTGGGTTTTGTTTTTTTGAGACAGGGTTTGTCTGTGGAGCCTTTGGCTGTCCTGGACTCACTGTGTAGACCAGGCTAGCCTTGAACTCAGAGATCTGCCTGCCCCCGCCTCCCTGAGTGCTGGGATTACAGGCTTGCGTCACTACATGTGGCTACCAAGAGAGCCTCTTACTGTCTGTGAGAAACAGGTAAATATTAAGCCCAATTCTCAGAAATTTCTTTGCAATTTATTACGCTAACGCTGACAGCTCCCACAGAACTCCACGTACACAATACACCCCTGCCCTTTGTGAATGTTGCTCTTGGGGCCACACTTGCCCACATCTTGTCTCTCCTGGTCATTCCAGCATCTCCATGGAGTAGAAAGGGCCCCGTTATTCTTACTCTTTTATAGATTTGCTAATGGAAGCTCCAGACGTTGAAGGATGAGATTCCCTAGATTAGAAGTGGCAGGGTCTGACGGGAAATCTTATTAATTATGGCAAAGTGAACTTGACAGTTGCACTTATATACAAGCAAATGCACTACAAATGAGTTTCAGCGAGTTCACTGGGTCTGTCATTGTATGTGGCCATGCTCAACTCCAGGCTTTTTAAAATGACATTTTGAGTTCTTTTCTAGCCATGTGCAAGACCCAGGATTCCATGTACGGCAGTATAAATAGAGCAAATAAATAAAGATAAAAGCGAGCTAGGCCTGGGGGTGCATCTGTAATCCTGGCTAATTTGGAGGCTGAGGAAGGAGGATTGTAAGTTCAAGGCCAGTTCGAGAAATTTAGTAAGACTGTCTCAAAATAAAAGATGAAGAAAGGGCTGGGAATATGTCACTTGGTGGTAAAGTGTGTTCCTAGCATGTGTGAGGCCCTAGGTTCAACCCCTAGTACTGAAAAACAAACAAACAAACAAACAAACAAACAAAATCTACTTTGCTTATTCAATTTCTCTTTTTACGAAGATGCATTGGATGTGAGGATGAGCTGAACATTCTGGAGCTGAAAGTCGTAAGGAGGCACCTGAGGAGAATAAAAAAATGTGGTGTACAGCTGCTTCCTTTTGGAGTGCTTGCTAACACCTCAAATTGCAGACTATTACCATCTTAATTGCGTGCACATTTTAGGGAGGTTTTGCCTTCAGGACTTAGGACCCTTGAAGCTCACTGTGGAGAGCGCAATGAATGTCTGGGCCCTAGCTCTTGGTATAGCAAGCGGTTTAGCCTGTGAGTTGTTTACTTCTGTAGAGAAGGGAGGAGAAACTTTGCAATTCAAAACCATTCGCTTTTTCTAAATAGGGCACCCTTTCCCTGACTGTAGCCACCCTATTTCCCAGAACTGGCATTCTTGTCATTTCAGGGTTGAACTTCCAGGGAGTTCCTGAATGCACCACCACACTTGGCAGGGGAACAGTCAGAGTTATGGCTCGAAAGACAGCAGCTAGCTTAGCAACATTCCACACTGCTGAAGACCCTTTAAACGAAAGGAAGGCATACAGACAACCTACCTAGTTCAGCAATCTAGTTTGGAAGGGCAGTTGTTTCTGGGGTACTTAAAGCAAGGGGTATTATTTTTGCCACTCTGGAAGATCTATTAGCTTGGAAAGTGACCACCTGAGTCCAGAAAATCTCTTCATTTCTCCAGTAGATTTCTCTAGACTTGCATGAGCCTTTGGATAATTTGGATACAGTTGTCCAAACTTGAGCTGGAGTAATTCCTGAGTAGGAAGAGCCAGGTCTCATTGGCTCATTAGCGACGTGGCTTTCTTCAATTACTTTCAGGCGTGTTTTCCCTTGCCATATATACATATAAATGTATATATATATATATGCATTTCTCACAATATGATGTTTCACAGTATACGTTTAGCATGTGAATTAATGAAATGAATAAGAATATCTCGATGGTTAGGAAGACTCACCAAGCAGGACTGCAGGAATTCTCTAAAACATCACCGAGTGTTTGCAGCACTAGAAGACCAAGATAGAGTTTCGGTGGTAGGGCTGTCTTTTGATGGGTGGCCAGATTTGAGGCAAGGTAGTGGTGATTCTCTCGCGCGCCACTGTTGGGCGTCCCTCGCAGCTCAGGAGTTGGAGACAAATAAACTTTTTTTTTTTAAGCCTGAGGAAGGAGCCCCAGAAATGTCCAGCTGACATCTGGGCAATACAGCCCCAGATGGGGAGGCCAGGGAATCCTATCTGGGTCGCACAAAGGTAGGAAGCAAAGCTGATTCGAGTGTTTCGGCCTGTCGGTGTCATCTTGCCCTAGACAGCGCCTGCGGTACCTACCGGGAGGAGTCTCTCCTGCGTTTAGAAATGCCCCTCACCGCTTGCACTCAAAAGTCTGTAGCCTCGGGGGCGGTACCTGGCAGCAGGGGGCGGAGCCAAGACCTCTCTAACACGCCTTTTGGTTGTCTGGGAGCTCCGCCTTCATTTCTGGGGAGCGTCTGATTTGCCAGAGGCTGGGTATGCGGCGCTGCGTGCTTTAGCCCGAGAAAGTTTTGGGGTCCCTCACCCGAGCGTCCTGCAAGGTGGGCTTGTTCCCAGGGATTTGAGCACCCTAAGGTGCTGCAAGCACCAACTTACTGGTTTCTGCGAGGCGTCTGGGGGCGCTCGTTGAAATTCCGGGAGCAATAGAGAAACTTCTGAACCTTCTCTGCTCACCGCCTCTGGTTTGGAAAGCAGTTGTCGAGTCGTTTAATTTCCTATCCTAATCGGACTCTGTGAAAAAATAGTGCACCGAGCGACCGAGCCAAGCTCCGCAGCCGCGCTGCCCCGGGCCGGGTGTGCGCCTAAAAGCACCCTGCAGTTCCAGGCTAGCGCTCCGGTGTGAGCGGGTCCGGCCGGGCCGCAGAGGGCGTCTGGAGACCGGAGAAACGGCGGCCGCCTGGCCCGTCGCTTCGGCCGGGGCTGTCCCTTTAAATCCTGGAGGAGGCAAAGAGAAAAAAAGAAAAGAAAGAATAAAGACGCGGAGCCCCCTGGGCGCTGGGTGGCTCTGCCGGGTCCCCCGCGCCGCCCCTCACGCAGGAGCCTGACTCCGACTCCCGCTCTCCGTCCGCGCGGGTCCCGGGCGACCCCGGGCAGCCCCGCCCACTCGCCAGCGACTGTCAAAATAGAAATTAGCGGAGCCGGGGGAGGGGGCGGAGGGGGGGGAGGCCGGGCCGCAGCAAGTGCACGTGCGGCGGGGCGGGGAGGGGGCGGTCGCGAGCGAGCCGGAGCGAGGCGACCGCACACATCCGGGCCCTTTCGCCCCGTGCGGTCCCCCGAGCCGCAGGCGCGGGCGCTGGG